TAGCCTACTGTTAGTTAAACAAGACCTTCTCAGCTGTCTTCTCCTTATCTGTAGTAACACTGTACTTACTAGACCTGTTAAGTATTATTCATACATTCCTTACAGTACTGTTTAATGTCTTAACTATATGTTTTAGTTAATGTCTCAGTTGTCTTCTCCTTATTTATAGTAACACTGTACTTACTACTTACTAGACCTGTTAGGTATCATTCACACATTCCTGGCAGTGTGGTTTTATGTCTCAACTATTATGTACTCCTTATCCCTGTCCTTGTCTCTGTGTGTTTTCATTAACAAGTTGAAGCCTTCTTAAACTTATGACTGTGTGTTCCTTGTCTTCTGTCCTTACCCTTTTGTATTTCCCCTCCCCCCCCTTACTATAATCTTCCATTTTACCTCCCCCTCCCTTTACTATATCCTTTCCTTTGCCTCTCTATTAATTACTTCCCTACCCCCTCCTTTTATTTCTTCAGAGTAGGGAAGAGTGTAACCTCTGAGGTTACACACATGACTTTAGTTAAGTATATAAAGGGCTATTTGTAGACACTTAGAGATTATCTTTGTACTTACTCCTGTACTTAGGTCAACCTCTCATCAATCCCAGGTCTTTACCTGTTCTGTGTTCTTGAGTGAGGCTCCAGCCTTTACATATGTCTAAGTGAATTTTAGTACTACTCTCTACACATAAAGATTATGAGCCAACATTCACTCCTAATATTGTCTCTTACTATTCTTCCTTTGTCCCTCACCTGGATTCTAGTCTATTTACAAACTCAGAGCAGAATCAGATTAATTTGGATATGTTCCAACAGCTTCTATTCAATAGTGAAAACTTGGACAGTATAGAATTCTATTTTAAACATATCTATTACTTTAACTAATACTTGACTTTACAGACAAAAAGCAACAAACAATTATCCATCCCCTACTTGCAAATTCACAATACATTTACCTCAACTTTACATCACACTTTTTTATACCTCTGACACTAGGCAAAGACAATACTTTATAGAAACTCAAGAAAATTCACAAAGATTATCTATTACAAGTTGCTATGTACCTGTTCACAACAGAACTTAGAATAACTTGCAGAGCAGTCAGACCATTTGCAGACACTTGGGTAGTCTGGGTCAAGCCTGGCAGAACTGTCTCAGTTGGCAATGTTCTCCTAACAATTTACAAGAACATGCATACACAGATGACACTTACAGAGTGGGCAGAATTGTCAGAGAATGTAGTGTACAAAGCTGCACATCAATATACCTGTTGATGCACTGAAGCCATGTTTGAGACAAAGCAAGGTGTTCAGTGAGTTAATATGCTTGGGAAGAAACATTGGTTCAGTAGGTTAAGGAGAGTAGGGATTGATAATTCCTGTCATTTTGAGCTATTAGTTGATTTGAAGTAGTAGTATCATAATAGACACTACTGTTACATAGTACAGATAAACCTTCACTGCTTTTTTACTGTTTTTGCCACACAAAGACATTTAAAAAGTTATTCAGTATTTTGAAAAATAGAAGACTGTAGATCAACAGTGAAAGCTCAGTATATCCCAACAGCATAGTATACTGACACAATACAAAGTGTACAAACCATGGTTTTTAAATTATGGAAGTACAATACCCTTGCAGCCCATGCAGAACTCCCAGGCACTCAAAACACTCTAAACTGCTTTGATGGAATGTAATAGTCACTTTATTAATTAGGACAGATGTACCTATAACTTCTTTAAAGATCTTATATAATTCCAACAGTAATACAAAACTGTAGTTAATCTAGGAATCACTACATGCTATTAATTACTCCCAATACTCTTCCTCCATTACAATATATTCCACAGCTTAATTAGCAACATTTTGAGAGTGTGATACAATATGTCTGGCTGCTTTGAGTGTATTTAGCACCTTTCCTATAGTGATCCGATCACTTGCAGGTATTACCCAACACTTTTCGCATATCTCCCAAACTGAATGGAGATACAGTGTCCAAGTATTGGACTCTGGAGGGTGTGAAGGCAACTTACTGTTCACAATGGTGCAGAATACCACTGCATTATTTTCCAAGTGTGCATATGGTAGCTGTTTCGAAAGAATTTCCTGTCAGTATAAAATAGTTTAGTACAGTTGTTGCATGAGGGAAGCATCCACCCACATAGACAGTCATTCCGAAGGCCCATACATCTGATTCCTTTGTATGATGTCTGTCACCAGAAAAATCAAACAGCTTGTATGCCATCCATCTGATTGATTCTTCGAGTCCCTCAAAGGTCCTCACATAAGGAATCTGTAGTTTTCGCGAATTACCAAAACCACATATAAGAGGCTTCCCAAGAGAATTGATAAGAATCTTATCCTGTGAGTTCATAGGTTAGGTCGGATACTATATTCGAATAAGGGTGCCTGACCGCTTTAAGGTTGCAGTGCACCAGATTTTGGCCATGCAGGTAGTCAACACCGTTTGCAATTCCTAGTATCTGACAAAGTTTTATGTTGTCATTTTAAGCAGAATACTATAAAAAAAGGGAGAAACGGACAATATCTTCAATTGGACAACGTATACGATTCTGCAGATATTCACAGAGAGTTCCGTCTTCCATCCATTCAGAGACGAGAGCATAGGCCTTTCCTTCTTGTACAAATCCTAGAAGCGGTAAAATGTTGACATGGTCAAGCATCGACCAAATGTTGCATTCATTGGGGTGAAACTTGCTCAAGAGACCTCAGAGAACAGAATATCATGGACAGTTTCTACACTTACTCGTCCGAAACCCTGCCTTTCTCCTAAATGTAAACGAAGGCGTTTGATTGCAACCTTCATTGCTGTCACTGTTCCAGATTGAAAATGGGCATTATTAGGAGTAACAGTTGCTGTCCCAACGAAAATATTGCTATATCTGCCAGTGGCTGTCACGTCCAGATAGCTGTATAGTACACAGCCTGTCAGGTTCAGGGAAGCAACAGCATTTTGGGCCCTCTGAGAATGAATATGAAAACAAACTTAATTCTTCAATTTATCAGCTTACAATTGGCCGAACGAGTTGGGAATTGCCAGGAGTTGGGCAGCAAACTCTACAGAAATGCACTGCTCTTCGAAGAAGATCCACAAGACGTGAACTCCAGCTGCACCTGAGGCTCATTAAGCTGCTGTCTGAAAGGTCGTATTGTATACAATACATAGGGTTGACAGAGATAGAAGGAGACCATTCTAAATCTTCAGATTGTCAGTTCACAGTTGTTTAGAATGATATACTTCTGAGTCCTGACGTACCTTCACTTCCATCAATGCTTGTCTGCTTCTCCAGTGAACTCAGAGAGTGTATTATATGATTGATTGACATGTGATCTTCGGGTGGGTAGACCCAACAGAGCTCACATATTTCCCAAACTGACTGCTGAAAGGCAGGCCAACGTTCGAAATCGGACGGCTTTGATGGTACCATACCCACATGGGGCATTTCACAATTCCTTACCTTAAAAAATAACTTACATAATGATAAACATTATTTGAAATTTATTTTCCCAATTTTGACTAGCAAAAATTATAAACAAAATTTGTAATTTTCTTAAGACAAAAACTATAAATTATTTTTAATATTTATCTATTTGTAATA